TTTTTTTTTTTTTTTACCTTCCCTAGACCTTACTCGGTCGGGAAAGTAGGGTGACCCGTGCGACCCGGTTGGTAGCCTAGAGAATAAGTAAGTAAACAAATAATTAAATAAATTGATAAATAAGTAAATAAATATAAATAAATAAAATTAAACAATATATATAAATTAATAAAAATTAAAAATAAAATTAAAATTAACAAATAAAATAAATAACTAATTAAATAAATAAGTAGAAAGATAAAATAATTAATATGTATGCATAAGCAAATAAATAAGACTTTTTAATGATAACTAAATATACCTACCCCAAGGAAGAACCCCATAGGTTGCGTTAATAACGAGAGACTAATCTCGCCAATATTACCACTTCTCACATTACAGCAACACAACCGATTAAATATAGGCAATTCCCACACAAATGAGAAAGGTTATGAGATGATTAGAACCAATTGAAAATCCAAAACTCGGTCATATTTATAACATAACTTATGCAAAAAAAAAAAAACGAAAAGATACACCGTTTCGACGGACAGCCTGACAGATGCTACACGACGATTCACAATACCTCCCGGATAATACGATAGAAAAAAACACATGATTCATCGCAAGTAGCTTGGTGCTAAACATCCAGACAAAAACAATGCGGCATACACGACATAGTTTGATACACCGCCAGTACACTTCACGACTAAGCAACCTGAGTCCGCGCTCGTCGATCTAAACCACATGACAACGCACTCATCGCTAGTATGTTGGCACGAACCATCGTGACAAAAACAACTTCGACATACACGCCATAACTCAAAGAACCACTATCCTAGCAAAACGTTAAAACTCGCGCAAAAAGAACCCTCTCGTATCATAACCCATTTTTATACACATACGGTTGCAGACAATTACATATCCCCATACTACTCTACTACACATACATGAAGCAACCCCCACCCATAAACACACTAAAATATACCATCCAACCCGTTTTTTTTCGTACACACGCAATCCTTTTGCCTCTACACACATTACAAACATACACACGTAACTCTCCTGCCTCTACACACATTAGAAAGATACCATATACAATGACGCACATACGGATATCCATCTATGTCGGTCATGCCTATGAGAGCATCAACAATGTAGAACGAATGAATGTTTGTTGCTTCTGCACAACATCGCGTTTGACATCATTTTTTATCCTTCCATTTTTTCTCAGTCCTCATCTGCTGAAATACTGCTACCTCCTCAAGCTCGTTCGTACGACAAGACGTTGTCTAACTGTGCAAAGAGTATCTAGCTACACACGTTCAAAAATAAGCGCTATTAGCGCCGTCTGTTGCAGGCGGTGGTAACCTAAAGCCTACGGAAGCTGATGGATACTGTCGAAGATGCTTCATCTTCGCAAGCACTCCACCTACACGTATGATACTAATTACTCCCCTGTGTCTAAAATTGTCGTATACGCTAACATAACAATACTATTTTCTAATGGGAGCCAAAGGTTATCCCTGTGATGAGCTGCTATGGGTGCTAGGTAGCGAAAAACGCGCTTCAGGGCATGCACCCCCCCTTTCAGCTACCTTCTAACCAAATCGATCCTAACTATTGATTAACATTTTAACTGCTCCCTCCTTTAACCCTTACCTTTCCGCTCTCCTCCTACATTTGGGATGACTACTATGAATGTGTTTATCCTACTGCTGAATTTGAATGATGTATCATCATATTGGATAAAGGTATGGTTTTGTTTCCCATAATAAATGGGATAGCAGTGTTTCACACACCCACTACACACATACCTGGATACTACATCCAGTTGTTATGTTAGTGGTTGAATCCATAGTTGGCGGATCACTATTACCTACTCACCCTGTCTTGACTAATCTCCACATTAATACTGCAGGATAGCATACTAACCCTTCTTCCCCTGCTCCCGTATACATGAATGCCTTACAAAACTGTCATATATAGCCCTCGCAATACACATATGTTGCGATCATTCCTATGCCGCAACGATTCAGCCTTCACTCTCACAAATAAGCAACGCCTTTACCAACTTGCCTTTTAAAATAATATTGTCACATTGTGGCCGCAAGTACACATCTGCCCATAACAGTTTTAACTGCTCCAAGTGCAAATCATACACAATAGATATGCAATCAAGTTTTATGTGTCATATCACTTCATACTTTTAATTACCATAGTTAAAAATACGATCAAATCGATGTCTCATACGTAATTACTTTGTTCCCTATGGAGAAAAAATAAACTACCCTCCCACAAAATCCTTCTCATTGTTCTGCCTGTAAATATGGGGCGATACCTTGTTGAAAGAACCATCACCTAGGATCGTCCTTTATGGACATCCTACAACACAGAAGTGGGTAGGCGCAATGAATTGATTCGTCATTTGTGGGCAATGTTGTTGAGCTATGACATAGGGGTGAGACGTACATACGAATTTATTTTATTTTAGGTTTTGTCCCTTCTATTTTGTCGTATATGACTGTTTTCGTACTTTTGTTTTGTTCAACCGCTGTCCACGCAGACGACTGTGCTTGTATAAAACCCTGAACAATAAGAATTGTTAGTATTTTTTTCACACACCTGATTTCTGCAAAACACTATGTTATTAGCCCTCTAAACTAATTAAGCAAGATCCCTTTAATCCTCTTAGTTCAATCCAACAAGTCACCTACCTCGATATTTATAAACTTATGATTACCGCTTATGATGGGGAATGAATTATTGTCTAAATATATAAATGGGAGGTCATTGTCACTAATCACCCGTAATAATAATCGATGTGCATTCTTCCGCTTACAATACGCATCTAATTATGATTGTTTCTTGTTGACCTAGTTCCCGCATTTTTTTTAAACTTGTAAATGCTAAATACCGATCCTGCAATACGCTCTTTTATTGCCCTTGATTCTGCCATGCTAGTTTATGTTGTCTTTGTATTGTTTTACTTAACGCACATATATATATCTTAATTAACGAT